GCTTCCCCCTCCCCTCCCTCCAGCCCTGGCCCAAGGCCCGCCAGAGCCGCGAGCAGCAACCCGCCCTGCTTCTCCGCCGGCGCAGCGACCGGGCGCCAGGCCTATGTGGGCGTGCTTTGGGCTTCCGAGACCGGAGCGCGGAAGGTCTGGACCCTGCGGGAAGTGTGTGCAAGGAGGGCTCCCAACTCCTTCCGCCTCTCATGGCTCCCCTGCTTTCAAAGATCCTCCTCCTGGTTCTTTTCTGATGAGAGGCTAAAGTACATCCTTAACAGTCCTTACAGGAAAGGAGCTGCCCCAGAGAGCACGGCGTGGGTAGGGGGTGCGGTTAACACCTTCAGTCTTGGAGACACCGGACAGTTGGGGGATGGGATGGAGAGAGAAACCCTTTTCCTTTTATTTTCTCCAGGGATCCGCATCTGTTTCCAGAACCTACCATCTAGAATGGAGAAGTTGTTCTTTTTGGCTTCGTTAAACCTTGATGAGGACCAGATGGAGAATGGAGTTCCCAGAATTTGGGGGCGATCTCAGGATTGCTAGAGAGTCGAGAGCCTCTCTTCACCCATAAAATATAAGGCATTGTCTTCTCAAGGTGACCACAGCATTTTTTTTTCCTAATGATGTATACATTTACGGAGTTGATATAAAGGGTACCCTTAGTCAGTGCTATTTTGACAGGAATTCAAACCCTGGCCCTGAAATTGTCCTGAGAGAGTCAATTCTCCTGTTCAAATTGTAATCTGAAGTAGGAAAATTACTAATTTTAAATTCACAAAGGCTCACCCTACTGAGTATGGGGCTGTTTTTTATTGAAAAAGCATTTATTTAATCTATTTACCTTTCCTTCCCTTCTGTAATGAGTCATAATCTCAATTTTTTATTTCTAAAATCTAGAGTATCTACCATATGATCAAAGTAAAACATTCTGAGAGTAACTCGGATCATCCCAAACTGCTACCTCTTTCTGCCATCCAACTACACTGTATTTATCAAACCTAAAAACTCGGATTTAAGCCTCAGACGAATGTGAGACCTTTCTTCCTCTCACAAAGACGAAAAAGGAAACATCACCTATCAGAAGGGTGCAGAGGTGAAAAATTTTGGTGCACATAAGCCTTTCATAGAAGTGCAGTTTTGCAATTTTATAGTAGTTTAAACACAAAGAGATTCTTAAGTTTGTATTTTTCAAGTAGTTATTCATGATTCTTATGCACAGGGTTCGGAAAACTGAGTTTCCCTCCTAGAAACTAATAGAAGACCTCCAATGTTCATGTTAAAAGAACTGTCTTTGTTACAGCAGATGAAGAACATGTTTCTGTGCTGCAATTTTAATGTGGTATTGAAAAGTATAGTGAGTATGGAATAAAAAACCATTAAAAGTAACACAATTACTTTTCAACATTTCAAACATTTTCAAAGAGAATTTAAATTGGGAAGCAGAAAGTTAAAATGATAAGGAAATGAACTTAAATGCATTGGTAATTCTCGAATGTTTCAGTTATAAACCTTTCTACACAATGTATGAATCCAACACCTAATGGCTTACATTAAGGAAAATAAATTTGGTTTTAAAGATTTTAATTCCAAATTTTTCTCTAGGCAAGGAAAAAAAATTGTATCTTTTGACTCAGTATTTCTATTGGCTTCCAATTTGGGTACTGTCGGTCATATTTTATTATAAAAGAATGGTTTAAACATTCACCATGTCAAACATTAGCATTTCAATGATATATGTTACCGTGCCTGATTCAGCATATATGTTGGAAATGCCGTTTTGAAGAGAAAATCAAACACAATATTCTTGAATACTCAAAGATGATACTGTTGACATTTTTGTTTGTTGTTGAGAAATCTGTGTGTAGACATAAGAAAATGTCTTCTCCACACAGAATTCATGTAGAAATGGCACTTTGGTTTGTGGTTAAGGCTATTACTTGTAAAGGCATGGTTGTTTTTAGCATTACTACTTTCTTGTGGCAGACACTGTTGGTCACCTAACCAACAACCAGCCTTCCACCCCTTTCTTCCTTCCAAGCCCATAGCCTCCAATTTACTGGGGATGTCCATCCTCTTACATGCTGTCAAACTGGTATCCTAAAGAAGTAAATGTTGATTAGTCAAAGCCAGTGATCACAACCTATCTCTGCTACCGGTGACTGATTTGGCATGGGCATGTCATGCAACCCTCGCTGCTGAAACGAAGGAAGTGGGGTGAGAAGGGTTGGCAAGGATTTTCTTCTGGATAAAAAGAGCTGCAAAAGAGAAAATGTCTCTTTAGATGTTAACGGGCGAATCTGTAAAATTTAAAGATGCATTTTTTATTGTACAAAGAAGAGGGCCAAGCCAGAGGGCAGAGACCTATCAATCTGGCCAAGCAAAAACATAAACAGTGCCAGCGTCTCCATGCCATTGACCAATCACTAGTTCACCTACCTATTTTCCTTGCTGTAAGAGATGATAAATGTAGTGTTTAAGTCACAGTGACTTGGATATTCAGTTACTTGCAGCCAAAAAGATTCTGACAGATACATTTATATAAAATAGACACCTTTTTCTGTCAATCTCCTATTTTTCCATGCTGCTATTATTTTCTATTTGTGTGCATATTTAGGAGTTATCTTTAAATCTATTCTTCTGTGGTTTTCTATCCATATACTTACAAAAGTGGGTATATATTCATCTCTAGAAATTTCATTTGCTGTATAGTTTCATGACCCCACAGCTGTTCTATCACCACATTATTGGTAAGTCCATGCTCCACTGGGGAATTGTATAATAAGAATAGAACTCCTGTTGTGTTGGGAGGTGGAATCAATATAGTGTAATGTTTTAAAATATGGAATTTAAATTAAGCTGACTAAGTTAGATTCATGAAGTGTCACTAGTCGTTAGACCTTAATTATGCTACTTGGCCTCTGTGAGCCCTGGGTCCTTCCTCTTTAGAGGGAAATAATAGTAGCCATCTCACATTGCCACTTTGTGTATTGAGTTAATACACGAAAGCACTTAAAAAGTAATAGGTAAGTAGAAAGTACTCAGTAAGGGGCAAATATTACTATAAGAAATGGATTAAAGGCTTTATATTTGATATTTTATAAACTTAAGGGGCTTTAATCAAAATATTGTACAGTTTAAAAAAATTAACTATTTTTTCTTCCCCTTTTTTAAAACAGCTTTATTGAGATATAATTCACATAGTATAAAATCCATCCATTTAAAGAATACAGTTCAAATTTTAAATATATATTCATAAGGTTGTGCAACTATCCCCACAATATAATTTTAGAACATTTCCATTTCCCCTAAAGGAAACTCATGTACCCATTAGCAGTAATTGCCCTTCCCTCATCCCTTCCAGCCTGCCAGTCCTTGGGTACTATTTGGGTAGTACTAATCTGCTTTCTGTCTCTATGGCTTTGCCTATTCTGGACATTTCATATAATGGAATCATACAGTATTTGTCCTTCCCTAACTGTCTTCTTTCACTCAGCATAATGTTTTCAAGTTTCATCCGTGTTATAGCATGTATCTGTACTTCATTTCTTTTTATTGACAAGTAATAATTCATAGTATGGATATGCCACATTTTATTTGTCCCTTCATTAGTTGATGGACATCTTTTATAGATTGTTTCCAATTTGGGGCTGTTATGAATGATGCTGCTATGAAGACTTCACATACAGGTCTTCGCGTGTATTTATGTTTTCATTTTTCTTGGGTAAGTGCCTAGAAGTGGAATTGTTGTGTGATATGATAACTGTGTTTAACATTTTGAAGACTTGGCCAACTGGTTTCCAAAGTGGCTGCATCATTTTACATCCCCACCAGCAATATATGAAGGTTCCGTTTTCTACATAACCTTGCCAATTGTTGTCTCTCTCTCTTTTTTTTTATTATAGCCATCCTTTTGGATGTGAAGTGGTATTTTGTGGTTTTGATTTGCATTTCGCTAATGGCTAATGATGTTGAGCATCTTTTCATGTGCTTATTGGACATTGCATATCTTCTTTGGAGAAAGGTCTATTCAGATTCATTGCCCACTTTGACATTGGGTTGTCTTTTTATTATTCAGTTGTAAGTGTTCTCTGTATATTCTAGATACCAGTCCCTTGTTAAATTTATGATTTGTAATTATTGTCTTCCTTACTATGGATTGTCTTTTTACTTTCCTCATGGTTTAGTTTGCAGCACAGAAGTTTTGATATTTTGATGAAAATGAAAAGATTTGATATTTCAATGAAGTACAATTTATGTTTTTTAAATAGAAGTAATTGGTTACATGATACAGTCTGTAATATTTTTGGCAATGTGTAGTGAATTTATTCTCACAGCTGAAATAATATTCAATTATGTTTCCCATAGAACTCGGTTTTCATTCTTATCCAAAGCAGCCATGTGTCTCTGCCTCATGATCTGAAGAGATATGAATATATATTATATATATATATATAATATATATTCATTTAGTATTTCAAAATGTTCTCTGTTCAGTAATTTTAGGACATCTATATTACATGACAAAATTTTAATGAATAACCTATAAAGCCTTTGTATTCTAACTACAAGTATGTAATTGATTATTAAAACTTTATTACTGAAATGTAACATACATGGATTAAAGTGCAAACATCTTAAGCATGCATCTCAGTGAAATTTTCCAAAGTGAACACACTTATGTGAAAACCACTCAGCTTCAGATAGACAACATAATCATCCCCCTAGACTCCTTGTGCCTCCTTCCTGATGCATCCTCTCCAAAGATAACTAATATTCTAATTTCTTATCTAAAATTAGTTTGTCCTGTTTTTCTCTGTACATAACTGGAATCATAGAGGATTTCATTGTTTGATTTCTTTTTTGTCTGGTTT